GTGGAGGGTCGACGAAAGAGGGGAGGCCTTCAATGAGATGGATTGACATGGTGGCTGCGATGATGGGCTCATATATAGCAGGGATTGTGGGGCTGGCGTGGGATCGGGCAGTGTTTCGTTCTGCTGTGCATGGGGTCGCTATGAGTCGGAAACAACTTGACGGCACTTAACAATAACAACAACAACAAAAACAAAAACAAGCTTTAGCCTTGTCCCCTGGAGATCACTTCTTACATCAATCTCCTTTCTCCTATGAGGGTGTGGACTCCACTGAATGAGCAGATGCTGCCACAAATCCAAGCTCCCAGAAACACTGGATGAACATAATTTAAAAAAAAATCCATCCTCAATTACCTTATCCTCCCTTCATTTTTCTACTTTCCTTTTCTCCAATTTTTCTTTCTTTCTATCTGATAATTTATCCCTCTACCTCTTTGTTTTCTTTCATTTTTACCAAACCTTCCTTCCTCTCACCCCCCACTTTTGCTTTCTCTGTCTTTTTAATATTCTTTTTCTTTTTTTCCTGTTTATTATCATCTGTTTTTATGATATCTTTTTGTCTCTCCTCTGCTCCTTGGTGTTCTTGTATTTCTCTCTCTCTTTCTGACTCATCCAATGGGAGGAACACATTAACTCTCTACTAGTCAGCCATATCTACTACATTGACCCCTCACTCAACAGAGGAATAACACCAATAGCTCCTGCACCACAGGATCAATGACAGATGGTGGACAACACCAGCTCATCGCAACCACAATTCCTCTTCATGACAAACAGAAATGAGAACTCACATTCTGACCAGTTACTCCACCAACACAAAGGAAGCTATAGAGTGATCCAGTATAGTCAAGCTAATAACTAAAGATGTATACCTGGTCCATACTTCCAGATATAGTAAAATACAAAACCAGGGCAAAATAAATAAGCACAAATCCAACAAATAAAGATGACAACTTCAAAATGTTTAGGAGATAATAGACAACTTCAACTCAAACAAACAAACAAAAACAGGACAAGATGGTAGCAACAAGTGTCCAAACTGAAGAATTAGGAACTCTCCCAAGGAAGAACAAGTAATAGAGTTACCTGATAAGGAATTCAAAAGATATATATATATAGCCAATGGAAGCAGCAGTCAAGAAATCAGATGATGTATTGCACTGGGCAAATCTGTTGCAAAAGACCACTTTAAAGTGCTGAAGAGCAAAGATGTCTCTGTGAAGACTAAGGTACATCTAACCCAAAATAAAACAAAACAAAAAGAACCAAATTCACTGCTGTCTAGTTGATTCAACTCACAGTGACTTCTCCTTGGGTTTCCAAGGAGGTATCTCTACAAAAGTAGATTGCCCAATCTTCCTTCCAAGGAGTGGCTCATGGGTTTGAACTGCCAGCCTTCTGGTTAGCAGTCAAGTGCCTTAGGCACTATGCTACCAGAGCTCATATATATATATATATATATATAAAGTCACTGCTGTTGAGTTGATTCCGACTCATAGTGACCCTTCCTTGGATTTCTGGATTTCTGAGGTGGTATCTCTATGGAAGTAGATTGCCCAATCTTCCTTCTGAGGAGTGACTGGTGGGTTTGAACCACCAGTCTTCTGAGTAGCAGTCAAATGCCTTAGGCACTACACCACCAGAGCTTCCATATAGATAGATAGATATAAAAACTTCCAAGAGCTCTGGGAAATCATAAATAAAAGGAAGGAGAAGACAGACATTACCCTTGAAGAATTCAGGAAAGTCATTCAAGAGCAAAATGACAAAATAAATACACAATTAGAAATCATACAAAAACAGCCATTAGAAATCCAGAAGATGAACAATTAAAAATCCAGAAGATGGACACTAAAATTATGGTGATAGTTAACACATTGGAAGGACAAAAAAGCTAGAACAGGCTGAAGAATGCATTTCCTAACCAGAAGAGAAATCCCTTGACAGCAGCTTGTATGAGGAAAAATCAGAACAAAGAATTAAGAGAAATGAAGAAAACCTAAGAGCCATATGGGATGACATGAAAAGAAATAACATACGCCTGACTGGAATTTCAGAACAAGAGGAGGCCAAAGAAAATACCAAGAACATTGTTGAAGATTTGCTAACAGAAAACTTCCCCTGTATCATGAAAGATGAAAAGGTATACATCCAAGAAGCTTAATGAACCCCAGAGAGGATAGACCCCAGGAGAAAGTCATCAAGACCTAGCATAATCAGACTTTCTAAAACCAAAGAAAATGAAAGAATCTTGAGAACAACTCAGGAAAAACAAAATGTTACCAACAATAGGCAACTAATAAGACTAAGCTCTGATTTCTCAGTGAAATCACGCAAGCAAGAAGGCAATGGGATGGCTTATACATAACCTTGAAGGAAATAAATTGCCAACCAAGAATTATATCCAACCAAACTGTCCCTCAAATATAAGGGTGAAATTAAGACATTCCCAAACAAACAGAAATTAAGGGAATTTGTAATCCAGACCAATCCTGCAAGAAATGCTAAAGGGAGTCCTTCCAATAGAAAACCCACAACAGAAAACAACAAAATCAAGACACTTGACACCACCACCTAGAATTAACCTAGAAAAAGAATTTCACAGTAAGCTCACAAAAATATAAATAGAGAAATAGAGAAGTCAATCTGTAAACAATACCAACAACAAAGCAAATAGAGGGAACAAATGTTATAATTATAAAACTTCCAAATGAAGAGGAAGTCAGGACAATGTATATAGAACAGAGTGTTCCAAACTTAGGGAGATAAGAATTTACTTCAGGGTAACCACAAAGGAAATTAACAATCCTTCTAACTAAATTAAGAAAGACAAAAATCACAAAGGGCTTACTCACTGCTGTCGAGTTAGATCCAACTCAGAGTGACCCCTCCTTCGGTTTCCAAGGTAGTGTCTCTACAGATGTAGATTGGCCAATCTTCCTTTGGAGGAGTGGCTGGTGGGTTTGAACTGCCAGCCTTCTGGTTAGCAACCAACAATAATGATGAAAAGAGAAAAAATATTTGATAAAAAACTGAACTCAGTACAGAAAAATATTTATAACAAAGAAACCCACCAACAACACAACAGAAAGCACAATAGAATGTGTTCATTATTATTTCTTATCATTAATTACACTGAATGTGAATAGACTAAATGCACCAGTCAAGAGAAAGAGAGTAGCAGATTGGATAAGAAAAGAACACCCATCAATATGCTGCCTTCAAGAAACTTCCTTAAGATACAAAGATAAAAATAAAGTAAAAATGAAGGGATGGAAAAAAATATATCAAGCTAATGGCAACCAAAAAAGAGCAGGAGTGGCAATATTAATTTCTGATAAAATAGACTTGAAGATGAAAACCAGCATAAGGGACAAAGAAGGATACTACATGATCCTAAAAGGGTAAATTAACCAAGAGGACATTACCATAATAAATATCTATGCACCCAATGAAAGAGCTCCAAAATACATAAAGGAAACATTAACTGAATTGAAAGGAAAATGGACACTTCTACAATAGTAGTAGGAGACTTTAACACACCATTTTTGATGAAGGACAGAACAATTAGGAAAAAAAAAAAAGATACAGAATATCTCAACAACACAATCAACTAATTCAATCTCATAGACCCATACAGAGCACTCCATCCAACAAAAGCACAATGCACATTCTTCCATACACTTGGATAATTCTCCAGAATAGACCATATGTTAGGCCACAAAACAAGTCTCAATAAATTTAAAAACACTGAAATACTACAAAGCATCCTCTCATATCATAATGCTATAACATTAGAAATCAGTAATAGGAAGACCAAGGAAAGAAAATCTAATGCATGGAAACTGAGTAATACACTGCTCAAAAACTACTAGGTCACAGAAGAAATAAAGTGTGAAATGAAAAAAAAAAATTCTGGAAACAAATGAGAATGAAAATACAACTTACTAAAACCTTTGGGACACAGTGAAAGCAGTACTCAGAGGTCAATTTATAGCAACAAATGCACACATCAAAAAAAGAAGAAGAAATAAAAATAAATATCTTAACAACTCCAACAATTAGATAAAGAGCAACAAAAGAAACCTACAGTATACAGAAGAAAGGAAATAATAAAGGTCAGATAAGAAATAAATGAAGCAGAAAACAAACAAAAAATAGAGAAATCTACAAGTCAAGAA